TTTTAAAGTAAAAGATCTATATCAGGACTTTGATTTAGGAAAGGAGAAGTGGAATTCAAAATCATTAAAGGTCTACAAGATATAGTAATCCTTGCCTGAAAAAAAAGGAAAAGAAAAAGAAAAAAAAAAGAAAAGAAAATAGAAAAGAAAAGTGAGGAGAAGCTTGAGGATTAGTGCCTAATCAAAAATTGGTTCCACATTTGACCTTTTTAAAGTATAAGATTTGAGAAACTCTTTTAAGATTATAATATAGTAAATAAAATTATGCTTAATAAATTTTTTTTAAGTGGAGATAATAAAATGCCTAAATTTTATATTTGGAAAATCTACAATATTTCTGAATTAGATATGAACTCATATTTTCATATTTCTTAACATTATAAATTGGACTATTATATTTTCGCATCAAAATTTTGGTAACTTCTAAAGAAACTCATATATATTATCTACTTATGTTGGTTTTTAAAGATTGAAAGGTCACTTGAGTACAAGTAACATCTTAAGTTTGGGGGATTTTGATACAGTTAAAATATATAATGTTCTTATACACATTTTTATACCTATTTTTGAGATATTGCACTGTAATAAATGATATTTGTGTGTTTTTCTTCTAGGTATAATCAAATGGATGGAAAATGCTAAAAAAAATGAAAAAGGATCAAATTTGGAGCAAATAGAAAAAAAAAGTCAAATTTAGAGGAAAAATTAAGAAATGTGCAATATGAACTGGGGAGCCTAAGCGCCATGTACCACGCGCTTAAGCGCCAAAGTTAGTTATTTGAAGAAATATTATTTGGAGCGGAATTTTGGAGAGATGAATTGGCTTATGAGGAGACAACTTCTAGAAGATTCATTGAATGGAGACACATTTTTGAAGAGACACCAAGACACTCATTGGATTTTTATAAGAATAGACTTAGATTATCCAGGAGAAGGGATCAGCAACCACCGACCAAAGGTTCACATTACCGCCGCCACCGCCGCTGGACACCTTTATTTTATTTTATTTTATTTTGAGTATTAGTTTGTATTGTGAGAGAATGAAGAAAATGCAAAGAAACTTCAAGACATTTGGTGGAGATAACTTGCGATAAGTGTTTATCTTTGTGACTACACCTGGTTTTTAATTTACATTTTTTTCTTGTGTGCATGATTTCTACTTTTAAACCCTTGTGTGGTTGTATTTTCTCCATGAATTCTGAGTTATTTTCTTTATCTTTTTCCTTAAAATGATAAGTGATTAAATGTTTAAAAGAAGTTTTGTGAAGTATTAGAGTTCAATGTTGAAAGATGTTGTGATGATTCAAGACTTTGCACTTCATTTACTTCTTAATTTGACAACTTAAGATGTTAATACCTGTTGTGAGAATATGTAAGATCCGAAATGGTTTTGTCTCAGTCAACAAATGGTTAGAATCATATATTGATTTCATGAATGAGAATATAGTTCATGGGGTTCAGTACAAATAAATAGGGAAATATATTTTAAAGGGTGTAGAATTAGAGGACTTTAGAGTGACAGACTAAAGCCCCCAATTTGAATTATAGTTTTAGGTTTTGATACGAGATATTAGCCCCCAGGTGGAGGGAGAAGAGAGAACTCTGAGAGTTAGTATCTTTCCTGCCTAGCCGGTCTTCAAGACTATTCAAAATATAGATTAGCCAATGTTCTTTATGGCATCTCTAATAAGGGTAAAGAATATTATTGCTCCCATTTGACACAACACATTTAGTATTCTTTCACAACTAAATTTCTATATTTATTACTGATTTATGATAAGGAAAAAGAAATTTTACTTATATTGTCTTCATCTTGCAAGTATTTTAGTTAAGTTAATTAGTTGCTTACTTTATTTTCAAATTAAACAAAAATTACAAAAAGAATTGACTTTCATTCATAATTTAGCATCTTAAGTTTGAGTAAGAATATAAATTGTTAAGTATTTTGTCATCTAAAACTAATCCTTCTCGTGGGTTCGATATTCAAGGCTTAATCAGAAAAGTTCTATATTACTTGATAACGATACATATACTTGCATATTATCCCATATTATAATTGCATTCTTATTTACTTCATAGTGAAAAATTTACCTAGCATTTGCTTTAGATCAAGTTTTTGGCAGTCTTTGCACATTAAGAATATCTATTAAGGAAATTAATCACATACATCGCATTTTACTTATATCTATATAGAAAGTTGGGATCATACCCTAACCCTAATTTTAGGTTGGATCAAAGGGAAATGGGGTAAAAGTTATGATTGACTCACTGAAGTGATTGAAACATAAAGGGTAATTAGGGTAGGAACCCATTCATGATATTTTATCAAATAGGGTAAAATTATAAATGTTTTAATTGTTATGTATAGAGAAATGAGAATTTGGATGATTCAAGCAAAATCCAATCCTTTTAATAAAGATTAAGCATAATTTACAACACTTTCGAAGAATTACAAGTTTACCCTTAAGCCTTAAGAGCTTGGTAATGAGTTGGGTTTAATTTAATATCATTTAAGGAATAGTTAGAGAAGAAAATATAAGTGATAATGAAACATTTTAAAACATTACAAGCTAAGCCCAATTAAGGGGAAAGAGTGTAAAATTCTCTAATGACCATAAGCACACCCTCATGCGTGTTTACCTACATAATTCTTAATATAACATTAAAAATTAACCATTTGCCTTACTCATGGGCTGACTAAGACATCAACAAGGTTACACTGAGCACAATTTAAAGAATAATAATATAACTCCTAATTCAACATGGGCCGATCAACTCAACAATATATCATGGCCAAATGAACTTGAAATAATTCAGAAGATTTTGAAGTTGTTCAGAGTTACCCTCTAAATATTTTTACATGATTTTGGATATTCCATAGGACATTTGAGCTTATTATGATTTGTTGAGGAAAATCATTCTCAAGACATAAAGACCCACCACGTAATGATTCGGGCCCCTTTCAAATTGAAAAATATTAGTGATAATTATCCCGCTACAACTTAATCTACAATGATATCCAATGCTAAAGGGTTTGGGCTTTAAACTTCATGCCTAAATTTTCCTTGCTAATTGAAGACATTTGAAGTGTGGTAATTTATATGGAACATCCAACTGGCATATAAGTTGGACATGTTGGTGGTATGAGCGATGATGAAAAATACATCTAAGTATGTGAGATATTAGAATAGTATTGTATCTCCTAAACCTGATGACTCTGTGAGGGTGCAAGATTAACATTACTATTCTAAAACATTTGGTAAAAGGTTACCCCTACTCTCGTGGGCTGTTGGTGGCTCTAGCCCAACGGTGCGACTAGCTCATGAACTGTCTGATTCACAAAAAGGTGTGAACATATAATATAACAACTTTTTTTTATAAAACTTATACTTTGTCAGGTAAATGAAAAGCTTAAATTACTTATATGTACGCCAAATTAAGAAATTTTTAGTGTTACTTTTGGCAAGTTTATGTGTTAGTCACATAGACTAGGCTGAGAGTTACCCTCCCCTGATTGTCTTGCTGGTAGCCTTTTATCGTATGTTGGGTCTCATATACATGTTGCTGGTGGTTGCTTACAGATGTCCCTCGAGAAATTGTCAGGGCTTCAGTTTTGATTTTATGATTCTAAGCCCAACCCTAACTTAAATTCTTATACCCAACTTCGATCTTTCATATATGTGTCACTTGAATTTTTATATATACACATATGCCCATATTTTTTGTGTCTGTTTAATTCTTTGTAATACTTGCATGCTTTAACTCTTTGGCAGCCGCTTCAAATGCAGTAGGTATGCTATATTATTTTCTTTTTTATTGTACTTTCCTTACTATATTCTGTTATATATATTCTATTTATGTATAATTTACTATAACTATAAAAGACCCCTAGGATGGAGGACAGTAGGCCACTTGTTTAGGAGGCCCTATATCAAAACTCAGCGACCCAACAATAGTGAATATTTTTCAATTCCAATAGACCTTCTAGGACCCAATACCATCACAACGAAGGGCCTAAAGCAAGCCCTTTAGGAAGCAAAAGGAGGACACAAACAGACGGAGGACAACATCAGATGACAGTCAAGACAAATATGAAGCAAAGGAAGAACTTCAACAAAAATTTCTTTAGTCTTACATAACAAAAACCTTAAGACTTTGAGGTTGTTCGTCTAGTTTGACGTAAATCTTCACACTATCTTTTGGTTTTTTACACAATCATGTTGTACAGAATAAGTCCTAACTTTTTTTAGGATTTCGATGTTGTTCGTTCGGTACGACGTAAATCATCATATTTTCTAAGTTGTTTGCATGATTATATGTCACACAAATATAAATCTTAAATTTTAATAAATTGCATGAGTTAAACATCAAATAGACATGATTTTCAAAAATATAAAGTCAAATAGTAGGATATTTTGGGAAGTCATCGAGGTACTCCTTCGAATCTATGACATCCCTGACCTTTTGCATGTTTGTTGTTTCTATTTGAGTCATTCCCACTTGATTTTCCTATGATAAATCATGAGAATTTAACCTTGAATTCTTGAAGATGAAATCTCTGAATTTAATTGAGAGTTTTTTTAAGTGACTTCGGTTGCCTATGATGTAATTAATTATATGGGTTTGTCTCTATAGAAGAATTAATAACTCATATAATCTAAACTCTATAATGCTAGATAGGGGAACTGTCAGTCATAAATTCCGCAGATCAAATAAGAGTCATAAATTACTTAATTAAAGTAGTTGAGTCCACTATCAAGTGATACGTTCATTTTTTGACATGATGCAGTCAATTATCTAAACTAGATATATGAGATATGTGGGGTCTCTTTTTTTCAAAATTAATAATATTATCTTAAAAAATAAAAGTTATATATATTAAATTAAAACATATTTTCAAATAAAAAAATCGTCGGACAACATGTCAACTGATGTGGCTCCATGAGCATAATAAAATAACTCATAGCTGGAGATTGGTTGACCAACCAACGAAGAACCAACAAAACCAGAGTTCGAAAATCGATTGGGCGGTCGACCAATAGAACCAGAGTTGTCTGGATGTAAAATCTTACTTCAAAAACAGAGAAGGGACATCACAGAGCTCATCATTTTTCAACGAAGCTTTGCCGAGAAGAACACAGGGAAGAGAATGGCGTCACCTATTGGTCGGCCATGGCGAACTCTTCCTTCACTAATCTCGCCCTCGTAAATCAACTCCTTGCCTTACTCAAAAAACCTCGAAAGCTCTCTCAAATCCTCCAAATCCATGCCCAATCCATCACTAACTCTCTTCTCCCGGAGCCGTTCGTGTCAAGTCGTCTTCTTTTTGCTTTGTCCCAACTCCCTAACCCTTCATCGTCAAAATTCACAGCATCCTATGCAGATTTAATCTTCTTAAAAATCCGAAGCCCCAAGTCCTTCCTATGGAACACCATCATTAAGATTCACGCACAGTGCTCAAACCCTTCCAAATCCTTCCGTTTGTTTATCCAAATGCGGCGTAATGGCGTCCTTATTGATGAGTATACTTACCCTTTCATTCTCAGCGCATGCAGTTGGATGCCTGGGAACGAGGAAGGTGTGGCCATTCATGGAGATTTGCTGAAGAGAGGAATTGAGGCGGATTTATTTGTAAGGAACTGTTTGATTACTCTCTATTGCAGGAACAGAGAGATTTCCCTTGCTCGAAAAGTTTTTGATGGATTTGAAGCTAGGGATTTGGTTTGTTGGAACTCGATGATTGCTGGGTATGCAGGGTGTGGCCAAATGGT